AGGGGGAGCGGCGCCCCCTGCCGGCGGGGTGTGGGGGATCCAGTCTGGGGAGGGGGAGCGGCGCCCCCTGCCGGCGGGGTTGGGGGGATCCAGTCTGGACAGGGGGAGCGGTGCCCCCTGCCGGCGGGGTGTGGGAGATCCAGTCTGGGCAGGGGGAGCGGCGCCCCCTGCCGGCGGGGTGTGGGGGATCCAGTCTGGGCAGGGGGGGGGGCGCCCCCTGCTGGAGGGGTGGGGGGGGGGATCTAGTTTGGGGAGGGGGAGCGGTGCCCCCTCCTGGTGGGGTTGGTGGGATCCAGTCTGGGTAGGGTAAGTGACGCCCCCGATGTTGTGGGTGGGGGTTGGGAACAACTGTTCTTTGATATCCGAGCCACTGAGCCTATCTGCCCAGTGCTGTGCATCTCTGAAGGCTGGACTCTTACCGTGCAGGTGGATGCATTGCTTGCTGACAGCAAGGAGAGGGGGGCCCTAGACCCTGCGAAAAGGAAGTACCTTTTTCAGAGGTAATTAACCCTAACAGTACACACTGCATAGAGGCGAAGCGCACTGCTATATCTGAAATCTAGGCTGAGGGGGTAACATTTGTGTGACGCACTATTAGCTATCTCATGACTAAGCAATTTATCACTGAGCGATAACTGCAGCTGGTTTTGATAGAAATTTTCCTAATCAATTTCGCTGATAAATTCATCTTCAGTGATGTGGCGAGATGCCCATATAAATGAATTACTGGGTGGCAGAGTAGACTAATGGGCTGGGAGCCAGGAGACTTGGGTTTTAGTCCCAGTTCTGCCACTGACCTCCTATGCAGCCTTGGTCAATCTGTTTCACCTTTCTGTTCCTCTTTTCCCCACCCGTAAAATGAGGATAATATACTGTCCTTCCTATGTACCTTTCCTTTGCTTTGGACTCCCAAGTCAGGCAATGGATTGGAAAGGGTAAAATATGAGAGGTTGATGTTAACTCTCGCACACTGAACATATGCATAAACAAAAATATTATATGCATTTAGGCCCTGATCCTGCAAACTGTTACACATATGCTTAACTTTACTACAGTGGGTAGTCCCACTGAAATCAATAGGACTACTTTGAGCAAAATTAAGCACATGCAGATGCAGAAGTATTTGCAGGATCAGGGATTCAGTGGCCTAATTAGTACTTGACTGTGTGCACTATTAGTGGACACCTGTGGTACTACATAAATAATAAAGGACTTAAAAATGGCATATTATATGTGTATGAGTGAGTTAATGCTGCCCCATGAATCTTAGATTTTTAATATTTTTACTTCTTGTGTGTGAACTAATATTATACAAGAAGCCTTTTACATTTAATTTTCGGTTAAAAATAAATACAGAAGAGAATCCACCTATGTATGATATAGTACAGCTGGGTTTGACGTTTTTACCTTGTGTGTGCTGATAAACAACCTAGTTGCAGTACTGTGCAGATCACATTCTGCATCAGTGCAATT